ATATTTATTTATTTTTTTTTTTTTCCCCCACATTCCACAAGCTTCGCATCAGCTGCAGCTCTTTACTAATCTGTTGGCAATGAAGGTACCAGATATGTTGGTCAGTGACTAACCTTCTCAACTGCTTTGGACACTGGATATCTTCTCTGTCGGCCTACATAGCAGAGAGAAAAACCATTTAATTCATAATGTAAAGAAAATGTCACCATGTTTGAAGATCCAGATTTGTTGCTAAACAAGTGTACTTTTCTTTCTGTTGCAGTAGACACAGAGGAAGATGAGGCCACCCAGCAGGAGCAGGAAGAGGAGACTGCATGGGATTCCAGCTGCAATGCCAGCTATGGCAGCGCTGCTCAGCCCTTCTCCTAGTCTCAACAGGACAGACAGTAACCCATGATACAGTAGTATTATCACTGCACCTGTGATAAACGGGATGCTTAAACACACTCGGTCGAACAATTTTCCATACCTGGACCGACTATGTGGACCACAGATGGCACTCCTTCAGTCATATTAGCTCTGGGAATGACCCGAAACTGGTATGTCAGTTTGGGCTCGAGGCCAAAGATGTCCGTACTCCGAGCAGAGCCAGGTTTCTGCTGGATGGTGCGATATCCGTCTGAACTGCCCCTTGTTTGGATGCCAGTATGATTTGTGCTCAGGAGGTCTGGTCCTTTCATCTGAATGTCAAACCCTTTGGAAAAGCACAAACGGTTCTGTTTTTTATGACACTACAATGAAAGTTGGCAAATCATCAACCACATAGTGGTACCAGGTATTAAGATTTTACTGAATTTCACAATATTACAAGCAGTTGGATTAGTAAAATATTACTATAATATGTCCATTCAAGCAGAGGGAAAAAAAAAACAAAAACCGATTTGTTTTTTTGGAGTATTTTTGTTGTTAAAATATTTTTCCCAAAACACAGAACTGCTCAGTTAGTGGCTTTATTCATTACACAATATTTACACCCCTATTTTCAGCGTTCAGTTTCTGTTTTCAACACTGTGTCGGCATTTTTCCCCAAAGCAGTTTTGCTGACATGAACAAATTCAAGTAAGGAGGACAGATTTGTCTGTGGTCCTTAATGATATTGTTGTGTTAGGTTATTTCTTAGTTAGATAGAGATTTGTTGTCTAGGAATGTTTAGTGCAGACAGGGTGACTAGCTTGCTGTAACTATTCAGCCTGCAGGGATTGCAGGCACGCCAAGGTTACAGGAAAAGAGCTTTTAGGGTCAACTGTAATGCTAGTCTTAATATTTGTCTTAATGTGTAAGGAAAACAACAGTCACGCACCTTGACTTTTCCTCATGTTTTGGCTAAACGATAGAGCAGCTGCAAAGCTTGCTTATCGGGTGGCGTCACGGTTTGACGCCCCTTGTAGCATGGGCTAGCCCAAAAATGATTAATATTATATAGGTTGTTGGGTCCAGACTGGCTCAGCTTTCTGCTGCCTGCGCGCAGGTAGAGGGGTGAGAGAGCTCTGGACGTGTCCTGTGAATTTTACCTGTGATCCTCTGAATAAACCAGCACGGTTATTTTTTATAAAATCTAAAGCAGTCTCTTTCGTCTCATTGAGAGTTCCTGGTTTGAAAGAACCGGAAGAAGCTACACAGAAATAATAGCTTATAGTTGCTTTCCAGAGCTAGCTAGAGTTAATGGATTATTGAACAGCTTTACCTGTAACAATAGAGGTAGGTGGGATCTCCCAGGTCAGTGTGACGACGGTTCCATCTTGATTAGGGAACAAAATGGAATTTGAGACCGACGGCCCTGGAGAGAGGGGGATTGTAAAGGGAAAAGCAACAAAGGGCAGGGGATGAGGGTATACCAAGACTGGAGAGCTTTGTTTAAAGGGGGAAAGAACAATCTCAGGTATTACTTCTTAGTCTGAGGTCCTGTTGTGTTTGACTCTGGTAATGCTAGTAGTACTTGAAATTATAAGTTCTGCCAACAGTTCTGTTACTGCAAGATCGAAAATACTGAAAAGGAAAATACTTATTTAAAAGACAAGTAATCACTGTGCTGTACAGTGTGGCAGCAGGAGGAAATGTAGCCACATCTTTCACTTAAATACACAGTTGAGTAGCTTAATTTAAAATATAAAAATAAACTATTTACATTGGTACTTTTAAGTCAAAGACCTTTATGCTTCTTCTATCATGGAATGTTTCACATATAAAATGTAATTATTAATTTCTGCTGCTACATGCAGTAGAAAAAGTACAATATTTCCCTCTGAAATGCAATTACAATAAATGAATATACAGTATTTAACTGTATTTTACAGCAGCAATACGGTACCTTGTAACTGTATTTCCCTGCTCTGGCTGCCCAGTGGGTTGCGACAGGTACATGTGTAGTTTTGGAGGAGAAAGTTGCTGACATTGTAATCAACCATCATGAGCTGTGTGGTGTCACTGCTGATCTGGTAAGCAGTCCCGCTGGTGATGGCCCCGCTGTCTCTGGACCAGGATACAACAGCTTTAGGCGAGGCATCACTGACACAGTAGATAGTGACCACTATTTTGCCCTCAGAGTCATGTGTGGTTCTCACAGCTGAGAGGAACTGTGCTGGACTACCTGGGAAAGATGAGGGTTGTGTGTTACTTTTAACAAGTTGTTGAACGTTTACAAATCATCCAATTCGATAATCCATAAAAACATCTAAAACTCACTTGCAGTAATACTGCAATTTTTCTGTTCAACTGGGTGGTCTGCCAAACATGTGACAGTTTGCCTATTGAGGTTATCAGAGGCTGGGACAGTTAGGCTGAAGTTTCCGGTCCCACTGCTAGTGTTGCTCAGTTCTGGGAAAGACAGCATGGCCTGTGGGGTTCCCCCTGGCCACTGACAGTGATACTGCAGGTTGACGTTGCTCACGGAGCCCACAGAGCACATCGGGTTGCCTGATGGTGTCTCTGTCCCAGAGGAAATTTGTACAGGTATTATTAATGTGAATCAAACAGCCTTGGATCTATATTGGGGTATCTTCTTAAAACAAACATTAACATCAAGTGAGAAACTTGATTTTGTGACCAACTTTCCAAAAGGTCTTTATAGGTGCAAACAATACAGACTTGTAATCCTACAGATCTTCTGAAAACATTAAAATAAACTAGATGAACAAGGCTTTAAATGACTATCATGGAAGATGATGGACTGAGAATAATGTAGGATAAACTCCTGTAAAATGGAGACATGCAAAATGCTGAAACCTGTCACATATGTACATACACACCCAGATCATAAAACATGTGCTTTTCACATACCATAAACATTTAAATTTGTGCTCTTTTGGCGTTTTTCTTTAGTCTTTTCATTGAGCACCGTGCATGTATAAATGCCTCCTTGGCTGGTTCGCACATTTGTTAGATTTAAAACTCCTTTGTGGGTATCAGAAAGCATCTGACCACCAAAGTCCCACTGTACAGTTGGCTGCGGGAATCCCTCAGCATGGCAGGAGAGGCTCAGAGAGTCCTCTGCTACATAGAAAGGCTGAGCTGGATGGGCCTCAAGCACAGGCTCATCTGGTCCATCTATAACAGACCACAGAGAGGAGAGAAAGAATATGAGGGAGATATTGCCCATTCAGGACAAATGCAGTAAAGAAGAATTAATCAATCTTACACAGCACAGTGACATTGATGTGAGTTGTCACACTGCTGAAGGGGTTTGTCAGTAACACAGTGTACTGTCCTGCGTCACTTCGGTTTGGTCGGAGGATCACAAGGCTCCTTGGCTCCATCAAGTAGTGCGAGTTAGTTTTTATAGGTATGTCATTGAAGAACCACATCTGGTGCTCAACCACTCCTTGCAACATGCTATACTGCAGGATGAACAGATCAGTTCCCTCTTTGGCAAAGTCAGGCTGCGTACTGAGCGTCACATTCTGGATGTTTTCTGTGAAAGGACAAGTATGATGGAATAAGTATGCAAGTCATCATTCCTTTCAAATGCACCACTACATTATCTGAAGGATGTTTTGCTTGACCACAAGCAGAGAAAAGAATGACCTATTAGCAGCCCCAAAGCTCCCCAAAGGGAAGCAATTTCAGTTTCACACAATCCAGAAACAGGCATTAAAACTGGTTTCCACTGCCAGACTGCTGCCCAAAAGTATTCATGCATCAGATTATATATTACATGGTATACAGTCAGGAATTACTAAAATGGTGCAGCATGTGTGGCTCAACTCCAGTCTTGGATCTGTGTAATTATTCAAAGCAGCCCACCTTCACTTGAGCAATCCAGGGAGCTTTTGTATGCACAGACAATTTTCTCCAGATTTGCCAAAACGTCATCCAGTCCAAACTCACAACTTTAACAACTTTTAAAATCTAATCAAGAGCAACATGTTGCCAAATCCAGCTAAAGATAATTTTTTTTTAAATTAATAATAGTACATGCAGTAATATGAAAAGAAACAAGCAGCTCCAAAATGAGTGATGGTGACAGTGTAGAAGGTGCACGTTAACATCAAATTTGCAGCCAATAAACTCAATACAACTGCACATCAGAAATCGGTCAGTACTCACCAAATACTTTCAGGGTGAAACTCAACACAGCATTGCCCACTCCAGACTTGGTCATTTTAACGGTGTAGTTACTGGCAAACCCAAGCGACACATTTACAAAAGTAAGGGATCCATTTTGTTCAACCTTCAGCACCTTCCTCATGTTTTCAGGTATGTCTGGGGGAACACTGGAGCCAATAGTCCATGTGACAACAGGTAAATCTCCCATTAACCAGATAACCACTGGGTCAGGGGCACCACTGAAGGACACAGCCAGAGTCAAGTTGCTGCCAACTATTGCATTCACCTGAGTAGGACCAGCAGGAGAAACCACCAGTTCACAGTGTGCACCTGCCAACATGGAGCCAAGTAGTTAAAGAAAACATTTTCCTGAATACTTGATGAACTTGTGGTTCCATAATGACAAAAGGTATCCCACGTCTATAGTGTACACTTATTACTATTAAAATAAGCACAAATACATATATTACATACCCTACCAATCAAAGGTTTGGACACTTTCCCACTGAACCTTTGACTGGTAGTGTAAATTACGTTTTATATATGGTTCAATGTGAATCCTAAACACGTGGGAACAATATTAGCAACATGCGCACAATCAAAGCTCGTTCTCCTATTTTGCACCCACGGACTAGGAACAAACGAAACAAAGCAAAAACGCATAAAGTTTACACGCATGGAAATTCGTTTTTATCTTACCTTGAAAAGTAAATCGAAGTAAAACGGCTAGAAAAACGCCACTTAACCTCCCTAATTCATCAAGCAGAGGCATTTTAATGAAACAGCAGAGTATTTCACGAGTTCAAGAGCCTTTAAACATTTAAATAAATAAAAACACAAGCGAAGAAACGTCCTGGGGTTCCTGAACAACGGTTACCGAACCACCTCTGTACCTTCCCGTATGGTCTCGATACGGACTGGTCAGCAGGGCGCGTGAGTAGCTCACCTGTGCTCAATCAAAGCATTGATTGTGCGCGCGAGGCCACGCCCACTACCTGCTTTATGTCTATTTGTCTATAATGACGTTTAGACAAGGCCCATGACCCCAAGGTATATAGGGTGATTTTATATTTCACATGTCGGTTACTTGACTTCTTGAAAGAACAATGTTGTCTGCTACTAATTACATGTAAAACAGAGATATAGTGTTCAATGTATTAAAATAAATAAATGAGCTTAAAAACTCTTTCTGCATATTTTCATAATAAGAAACTTTAGTTTTATTTCAAATATTTCTGAAAAGTTTTTTTAAGTGCCATTTTCCCCCATAGACCATTTTATTGCATAAATAAAAACAGCAAAGAGTTTGTTCAGCACACAACCTACCAAGTTGTATTTTTAAAATGCTGTAATGAAATACGAATTGCCTAAAATAATCTAGATAACACGGTTTAAAAAATAAGCCAAATTTCAAAAATGGTTTGGACTATGACTATAAATGTTTTGGCCATCAGGAAAAATATAAAAACACCCCTTAGTGTAGTGCAGTACAACTAAACCAAATGAGTCAACACCCCCCTGAAACAGCATTTCAAAAATGAACACTGCAACGTCCATGAAGACAGGAGTTCTTGAAGGACAAAAAAGAAATGCCAGCCACAGCTACACTTGGATATGAAACAGACTGGATGCTTTATTGTCATGGTAATATTCTGTACCATCAGAAGAGAACTGAGGCATCTGTGGTAAAATTCAGACTAACCATCATCTTCCCTTGGTCATACTGAGAGACACTGTCTAGGCAGAGTACCAAAGCCCAGTTATAATTAACATACAAACTATACAAATTACCAGTAGACATGACCCTAATCTTGAATTACATGTTCATCAACATGTGCGGATCTATATTTACATATATCATTTACAAAAACTGCACCTCTTAACATGTATGATTACAGAAATCCAACATTAAACTGCACACACAGTCTTGTGTGTGTGGTTGGTGAAATGCATCATACAGGTGGTGTCAGTGTACAGTGCATACAAACAGCAACATGAATGAGTATCCTATGATACAAATATAACACCCATGTTAAAATGTGTTTAAAGGCTAGATGATCCGTTTGTGGTTGTCTGGTTCTGCTGTGGGACAGAGTTTCTCAGTATTCCTCCTCTCCTGTCAAGGCCTTCCAGCATATCTTCAGGACTCACTGCCTCAAACAGAGGGATTAGACAGATACATATGCCAGTCCTCTTGGTGTGCTTATGTAATGCAGTCCAGCTATTCATTAGAGTGTCCTGCAAGGATAGAAGAAAATGTAGATATGTAATTCAAGGCAAGAGTTGCAATTAAAAACTTTAAGAAGTTTGGCTTTTGTTACAGCAAGACACATAATACAATTCGTCAAAGTAATTAGTTTCTTTTTTTAAACTATTGAAGAGATGGTGGTGTAAAAGAATATTAATATTCCATGCAATAAATACAATTTATATCATTCATCACAAAAGAAAACACTGCAGCACACACAACCTTAAAATCTATCAAGTAATAATCAACAGGTAGATTTAGGTTTATCAAGAGTAATAATTTTGGTAAACAATGCTTTCCTAAAAGTATTCACTAATGATTCACTATCCCATTTACTTAAAAACCTTAAATTAAAACACAGCCTACTGCTCAACCCAAAATACAAATACTATAAATACTTAGTTATACTGTATATAATAAGTGGTTCCCCCAAACCTTTCCTAGTAATGCAACTTATAGTTGAATGAAACACTGCATTCACTAAAGATTCTACAGAAGAAGAAACATAAGATTTAAAATACTGGTGAAGAGCCTATACTTGTATCAATAGCTGACATACAGTAGAGCTGAAATGATCACTTGATTAATTGGTTAGTCAATAAACGCTGCTGCATTTTCCTAATGTGTGCCAGTGGTTTTTGTGATTAATTCTCTTGATTCTAGACGAATATGATATTTAATCCTGTTTCCAGGAAATGCTAACACTGGACACAGAATGTTACTTGGTGTAATAGTGAAACACATCAAGCGGCTAAATCATGTCATGAATAAGAGAGATTGTGGCTGGTGGAGGAAACTGTTTTACTGATCAACACTTGCAGTTTGTGATTCCACACATGTGGCAGGTCGTTAAATTACTTCATGCCCATTCATCCATCTTTCACATTATCATTTAGTTTGTATTTGTTGACCAAAAATGTAAAACTGTCATAGTTCTTATCAAATGTCACTTTTTCTTTAGTTTGTTTCATTTTCATACTGAAAAACAGGTCATCAATGAATATTTTTCAGTACAGTTTTTGCTAATGAAACCAAACACAATCATAATATTTTAAAGCAGAAGCAAACACTATCCGATTCAAGCACCTCTAATGGGTGGATGTGTTGATCGAAACCAAACACAATCATAATATTCTAAAGCAGAAGCAAACACTATCCGATTTGAGCACCTCTAATGGGTGGATGTGTTGATCTTTTCTTTATGTAATGGACAATCAATCTTGGACAAAACAACATGTGAAGACATCACTCTGAGCCCTAAGAACCTGTGATTGATGTGACAATTTCTGTATAAATTTCTGACGATTTATACACTAAACTATTGATCAAATGAAACTGTTAGATGTAGCTCTAGCTGACGAGCGGTATAGCAAATTATTGTAAACTGATACTAACTCTGCTGGATCCTTGCTAAAAATATGTATTAGTAGTTAGTTATGAAAATCCAGTTTAGATCAGGACGTGTGTTGGCAGATACAGTGATACTCACCATTCTGCTAGGTTGTGTGTTCCCTGCTTACGCTCCTAAATCTTCTATATCCTCCCTAACTCCTTCAGTTTTGCCACCAGGTCCGCCACCGTCTCCACCTTCACCCCTGCCTGTCTCTGTGGGGGCTCTTCCACACTCAACACCTCCAACCGTGATGTGAGGTCCACTCCTAAGTCTGCAGGCTTCATGCTAGCTATCTTCTTCTTCTTGGCTTTCTGAAAGAAAGATAATTATATAGATTCTATACTAATCTGTAGTATTTTAATTGTCTGTTTGAAGCACCCTTCAATCCAACAAGTGTACAAAGTAAAGCTGTATCAAATCTAAATTTCTATTCTAGATTTAATAACTGTTGCAGTTTAATTTTATACATACAACTCCAAATTCATTCCAGAAATACACAAATTGGTCTTTATGCCTTCTTTTTTTGCATTTGTGCTTCTGACCACAATTTCCTGCTCCCTACCATGATATTAGGTAGGGTGGCATATCTGGGGGTGTTGAGTCGAAGGTCTGCAGTCACCACCGCTGGCGTGTTGATCTTAATAGTCTCTAGGCCACCATCAATTTCTCTCACTACTTTAATTTTGTCTCCTTCCAAAGTCACCTCGGATGCAAAGGTACCCTGCAAAATGAAGTAACATTAAAAATTCATTACAATAAATATGCAATACTCAAATAATGACTGTTAAAACAGTTCATCTGGAAACAATGATGCGGTGTAAAGAGCAAAAAAAAATGATGAAAGGTTACTTGAGGTCACAAGGCAGTCACCGTGCTCCATCTACTATCCGTCTGGTGTCATTTCAATTTAAAGTGTAAATAATACATAGTAAAATAAAGCACTAACTCTAAAATCTATGTTATTATTGATATCTATTCCACTATCTCAATGGGTAAACAATTATGAAAAAGCTGGCTAGATGTCAAGATTTACATTAGAGCCTTGGCCTCAAACTGTTCATACTATACACAGAGATAACATGTCAAAGCGCTCCACCTACTGGTCAGCAAGTAGAATGTCACTCCAACTCTCCAAGCTGCCTGTGACCTGCTTTATGCTGTTTCCACAATCAGAACCTAACAAGTGGTATGCCAAGTACTTCGCCTAACCCTCCCAGGTTGCCGCACACCATCCTGCTTTGTTTTTCCACTGTATTTTCTGTCAGTATCCGTTTAGAGGAGGGAGGGGCTGTGCCCCTCTTACAAATGCAATCACAGCTGAATCTCAGAAGAAAAAACTACCTATAAGAGCATAATTTCAACAGAAATACAAGTGTGCTGTCTGTCTCATTACTCTGACAAATTCATATGGCAGCCCAACATTATATATATATATATATGTTCCTTTAACTCTTTTTCATTTAAATATCGACGTTAATATGGTCAAAATCATCACTGAAATTCATCCCAGTTGACTTTCTGACAGTCTAGGCTCTATATATTTTTACAGAATTATTCTGCTGCAAGATTATCAAGGATGAAGCTGAAACCCAGCAAAAATATACAAAAGTGAAAGACTGAAACCAGTAAAACCATTAGAAAAAAAAAAAATCCACATAACACATTTTATTTTAAGACTAAGTGTTCTTTCTGGCCTTTGACTCCTTACCTGACTCCAAAGGAGAGCTGCGCAAGAATTCCTATATGCCTAGATTGTCTGTTCATGCATACATGGCAAATAAAAATCTTGACTTGACACACACATGCATACATACAGTATGTATGTATGTATGTGTGTGTGTGTGTGTGTGTGTCAAGTCAATTTTGGCCTGTTTGATTGTAGTCAGAGAATGACAGCAGAAAGCCTGATTTTAAATGAGGACATGTGTGTGTATGTATATAAAAGAACAAATAGTCGCACTGAAGAGCTGAGTGGCAGTCTGCCAAAACCCTTAGTTGGGTACAGCTCTAGTCTCCGCTAACCTTGATAAGGCAGTCTGGACAAGCAGTACTACTATACTAGGCATCTAACACTTGTGAATAGCCAACAGAAAAAAACTGAGGTAATGTTACTGACACTTATGACAATCACTTTAAGGTCAAAAAGAATTATTACTATTTTTGGTACAAGTTGACTAAGTCCTTTGTAGAATACCTGCATTTAAATAAGAACTCACCTGAGGCCAGTCCAGTAAGGCTGCTGTCATCTGGCCTGTTTGATTGCAGTCATCATCGATAGCCTATGAAAGCAACACAAGTCATTACAGAAAAGAAATCGCAATGCCAGATCTGAGAATTCATCAGAGAATGACAGCAGAAAGCCTGATTTTAAATGAGGACATTAGGTGAAATTAATCCTGATCTTTAACCTGTTTGCCAAGGATGACGAGCTGAGCGTCCTCCTTCTTGGCCAAAGCAGCGAGGATCTTGGAGATCTGCAGGGGTCCCAGGGTTTCATAATCTTTCCCAGTCACTTCCACATGAATGCCACGGTCAGCCCCCATGGCAAGGGCAGTGCGGATGGTCTCCTGAGTGAGACAGAAATATGGGTCAAATTGAATTTGTTACTAAATCCAAAAGGATTAAAGCAGAATGTAGAATTGTTTAAAATGTAAATAATTGTATTTATCTCTCTATCAGTAAATATAACAATAACTACTTAAAATCACTGTGCACTTTACTTCCTGTGTCATTTTAGTTTGCTTCTGAAATTTGCCATGATTAATATTGCAATCTGGTTACGCAAAATTTGCAACAATTATTATGAAATTGTTATGACATCTGCAACACAGGCAAATGGCACATTTAAATACACAAGGTGATTTTTAATCAGCTGCACTGCTTAATTATGCAAAGTATGAAAAGTGATTTTCAATTATTTCTCTCCAATTCTTTATACATGATTTATCAGTATTTGCAACATTTACACATAATTACAGAATTATTCTGCTGCAAGATTATCAAGGATGAAGCTGAAACCCAGCAAAAATATACAAACGTGAAAGGCTGAAACCAGTAAAACCACTAGAAAAAAAAAAAATTCCCCATGACACTGGTTAGTGTAACAGGGACGCACAGTCACACCCACCTGTGCTTGCTGTGGCCCCCAGCTGACAGGCAGTTGGCAAGATAGTCACTACAAGGGTGCCAGATGACAATGAATCCAGGCCTGGATTCTTGGGCCAACTGTCAGACACTCACACAGAACGTGAACCAACATAGTAAGTAAAGGTGAAAAAGGCAATGGATCTAGTGAAACAAAACAAGAGCCCTGCAGATGGCAAAATGCATCTTAAAGACCTCAGAACTCCTCTATTATTGGTCTTTACTGTGTTACTATCAGAAAACTATCAAAAAAAGGTCTGGCATTAAGAAACATGCTGTTCTGTAAGTTAAGCCACTATATAGCCAAAAGTACGCAGACATCCAAACAAAGTACAGTGATATTTTAATTCCAAAATTATGGATACTAACATGCTGCTAACTCTTCTGGGAAGCCTTTCCACAAGCTTTTAGTATTTTGCTACAGGAATCTCATTTCATACAGGCACATGAGCAATAATGAAGTCTGACACTAGTATTGGGTGATATGTCCTGGCTTAAAGCTCCCATTCCACTACAGGCCGAACGCATTTTCATGTGGTTGAGGTCGGGGCTGCAAGTCTGGTAAGTTCTTACACACCAAAATGAAACAGTAAACTCTTTATGGATCTGGCTTTGTGCACAAAGAAATAGGAAAGGTCTAGGTCTCTTCTCCAAACTGTTGCCACAAAGTCAAAAGCATACTGTTGTTTTTTTTGACAGTGTATGCTGGAGCTGTCAGATGTCCCTGAAGGAGAGCTAAGAGACCTAGATAAAACCCATGAAAAACAGCTGCAGACCAAAAGAACACTTAAGTATCTGGTAGGGGTGTAACAATGCATCGATCTGGATCAGTACATTGATCACAATCTGATGACACTAATGCAAAACGTAAACATGATTGTTTTGTGTGCTTTTATTTTGACAGCCAGCCACATATGTACACATTTCTGGTGAAGTGCTATTCTTCAAGCATACATTTTGCACTTATTTGGCCTTACATGCATGTCTCTGAGTCAGTGTGGACTGACACATTTTATAGAGTGGAGTTTTATCCGTTGTGTGAGCAGGGCAAGGGACAAGATGCTTTCTGCGGGAATTGGCCTTGACCTGTAGCAGCCAAGAAAAATACACATATGAAGTAAACTCTCCCATCAGAAACAGGTCATTGGTATAGAAGTATTCTGAATTGAAAAGGACACACACACACACACACACACACCTGTAAGTGTGAGTGTTAAATAACACCCATTAGTAAACAAAACTGCATTGTAGGAATTTTTTTCCCTAGCTTTTTGTAAATACTTCCTATCTCAAAAAATATAATAAATTGGAAGATCATTATTGGTCCTCACTTGTATTTAAATAGCACTTGAAAGTGAACAGATGAGCTCAATATGTTTTTCAAATTAAACTTCTGTTACGTTAGTTAATGAAAATATAATTGTGTGAAATAGGCAGATAATATCGGTTGATATTAACCACAGGATCCTGAATCAAATTTAATCGTGGCATATTTTTAAGTAACTGCAAACATCAGATCGCTGGCAAAGAGAATCGATATAGAATCCTATCATGGTGAGTGGAAATTTACACCCCAAGTATTTGAACAGTGGTGCACTTCTGGCCATGTATCTGTATCACATGCAAAGACTATTCACAATTTAAAATAGTTATTCTTACAATAACCGAGCAAGGTCAGTATGTGAAAATGAACTAACATCATTAATTATTTTAGAAAACTCAGTCTGATGTAACGGTATACATAAGCAAAAACTAGTATTTCCAGCAACCACCGAGCGAAACAGGTGCATTCAGCGTCACCTGAACAGAGCACAACATTAAAGATTAAGAAAAATACTGAGATTGCACTTGTGTGACTATGTTATACCACTGTCTTACAGACTAGTCCTGAGAAGAACACATTAAGTTTAACCAGACATTAAGTTAGGCTGCACAACAAGAAAAAATTCAGCCACCAAACAGCAGTATCAAAATATGTCAACTATCAAGATCTCATATATTGCAGCATTAATAACCTCCACAGCCTGCAAAATGACCACATTTTTTTGCCGCACTGCGCGGCACTAACAAATGTGAACAGTGAGTTGTGTGGCTTTGCTCTTGTGCAACAATCACCTGGCGTTAGCTGGCTAACGTTAGCTAGCAAGCACAATGTCAAGTGAGTGACCACAGGATAAAAAATTAAAACGTAAATAGGCCTGTTGCAACAACAGAATAATATTACCTTAACTGCGTAGTCAATAACACGTTTAACTCCAACGATAACACGACCAGACATCGTAGGAGAAGACAGTAGACAGCTAATGTGACATAAAAAAAAACCTTCACCCAAGGAGAAGAAGTCGGAATTGTTTTAAGGCAACACCGGAGGAGGACACAAAAGGGACCGGCTACCTTTCCAGCCAATGGGAACATGACAAAATTAAACACCATCAGCATGTCGCTGATTGGCTGACACGTGGCTGAATCGTTGTTAAAGTGAACGAAAAGACGGTCTATGCAGCAGATTCGGTTATTGAGTGAATCACAGCTAAGGCTTATTTAAGATATTTCTAAAGTTTTTAATTATCCCTTAATACAAGATGTCAATTGTCTGTTTATTTAAACTGCTTCAAATTTGTGAATTGTGAATAGCGTGGTGCTTCTCATATACGTGTCGTAAACAAAACCCTAAAACGAAACGTTCCGTTTTAAGTGGGGCAAAGTTCACAGAAAACAGCGTTACATAACGAGGTTCAAGTATTGGACAATGGGGTCAAGTCACTTGACCTTTAAATGCTACCTATCGAGTAACATAACGACCTATGATGACATATTGTGATTTTAAGATGTACTACTTTTTTAACAATATCTTGCTATTCCCAGAACATGTCTTCAAAAATCAGGGTGAAAAATCTGCATGTTGATAAATCAACATTGTATTTTAGTAGTTTTGGTGATTCCATTGTTCTTGTCTGTCTATATTATTTACTTAGGCAAATATTTTGTGTCTAAATTTTAACCTTAATTTAAATGTTGCTCTCTTTATTTTTTAAATCATTTTCATGTTTTGCATTGAAGGAGAAAAAGGATCATGGGGTAACCTATATGAGTAGCTAAATAGCTCTGTCTACCAGCCCTACAATAAACCCCACCTTTATGAGTGCTCGGATTTTATTGAAACTGTCTAGGAAAGGTGTTGATTAAAATTATGGAGTCTGTTAGGAATTACTGGGAGATGTTTTTAATATTTAATCTGCCGTCACTGAAATAAATGGGGTGTGCAAAATATAAAAAAAAACATACCCAGTACGACATTTAATACACCAAAAACTACAGTCTTAAACATTACCACGTTGAATCAACATCTGTCAGGCTCCACCAACCTCTCAACAAAATCTGAACATAATAACCTAGCTGGGTGTACCTGGGTGGGATATGGGAGTCACAGTAACCCTCTGGGGATCAGTAATAATGTTTATGTATCATGGAGGTTTTTGTATAATGCGTGCTGTGCCAGACAAGCCGCCTTTGCCTCATTCGCGTCAAAAATTACCAATTACGGGTAATTTCGAACAAATGTTACTCATAGATTCAGTTTTATTTGTAATTTTAATTGTTCTGTTGTGATCATTCAGGTGACCAAAATCGCAGACATAAATACAGCTTATGTTTCACATGATTGTGGTCATACTGAGGAGAGGTATTTGGTTATTCTCAACGTGTTGACGATGGTCACCCGTGACTGCAAAATCTCCGGCGCGGCAGATGATCACCCAGCGGTAGCAGCGGCCTCCATTTTAACTTCGACACCGAGCCATACCTCACGTGTCCTGGGCTGTCTCTCTCACATGACCCCAGTGTTTGTTCCCGTGATCAGCACTTCCATCTCCGTCTGTGACACCGAATATCACTGTTTATTCAGACCCTGATGGATATGCTTGAACGGAGTCTGGACAGCGCAAGGTAACCGAGAGTAAGCCAAAATGGCCAACTGAGACGAGCTAGCTACAACATGCTATTTCGGATAGCTAGTTAACGACAAAATTCAAGGCCTGACCTTAAAACTGTTGTCACAACGAATTCTGTGTAAAGACTTTAGGCAAAGAAGTGAAAGACTGTCAGCTGGATGGCGGACTAGTTCTGTTCCCAAAGCCGATGTCCAGTTGTGAAAGACATGGTAATAATTAGCTAATAAGATTACAACAGCTAAGTTAGCTAAAGCTAGCCATTAAAACACTGGGGGTAATTTGAGCACAGTAGCAGTGTTGTGTTTTACATTGTGACTGTGGTGTTGGTCAAGTGTCTTCTTGCACAAGTTTGCTGTTTGTAAAGTTGAGGATCCTTCAACTAATTTTATCCAGAATACTCATGAACGTTAGCTAGTTTTTTTTACACTACTCATTTGTGCATTTGATTTGCAGCCAAGAAAAGCAAGAAGAAGAAGCTGTCCAGGCAGCTGAAGGTGTGTATTTATTTACTAAACTGTTATTAACAACATCCTGCACCTGCACAATGTCGATGTGTATAAATTGCATTTAACAGTTAGTTATAACACATAAAATGTTTCATGTGATAATTAAGAGGTGTAAAAAGATATAGCATGTATTTCTCGGTAGCTGTAACCTACAGCAGAACATACTGTTTCCTGGAGGTGAACTCAGGGGTTGTTAGTTGTCTTTATTAGTTTTCCTTCTGCCTTCCGTTCTCACAGCTGACCTTTTATTTCTGTCCTCTTTCTCTCTGAGACGGGACAGGTGAAGAACAAACAGCTGTTACAGTAGCCAGTGTTCAGCAGAAAGCAGCATTTGGCGACCATACCATACAATATCAGGTCCGCAATGAGAGAAACTAATGGGTGTTAATTGACACTATGTATAATTTCTTCAATTCATTTCGGAAAGACACTAGGTGTGCTTAATGGCAGATGTGCCTAGAGTTTTAGGTAAGATTGCACCTGTTTAGCGATCATAACAGTACACTGTACACTCCATAATTACTTGAGATATTAGGTTGAATACATGTCCAAGGGATGTTTGTGCAGAGACATAAATAGAAACTGATAGAACCCCACATTATATATGATTAAAATGATTTGGTCACATATAGTGCAATGTGAAAGTGGCTGACAGTGTAATTCTCAGTAAACAGCTTGTAGCCCATGTATTCTTTACTTAGATGATGCTTTGTGATTTGGGTTATGTTGTGCTTTGGTCTAAACATTGTCACGTCACAGTAAGATAAACCTAAGTTCCTCCCATGTAAAGTTCCGTTTCTTCTTATACTGTTGTCTGTTTTTGTCTGAGCACGTCAGTTCCCTCCCATATTTCACAGACAAGTCAGGAGGATATCAGGCAATAAATTGCCTGAAGGTATGATTGTGTGGTTTGTTTTCTGCTCCCATGATTGACTGGTGACTCTTGTCAAGAACGTGTCCTTGCCATCCATTAATGTAGTATTTAGCCAGCGGTGGTCAGTGATGGACAGTGGGTCTTTGATGCTAATAAATAATCTTGGAAAAGCACTGTGACATTCAAGTTGCTTTATTCTAATAGTCAAAAAAGTATTTGAAAAAATTTGAGACACTCAAGAGGGTCCTAAATTGAAGAGCACCAGAGGTATATTTTTACATTTTTCTATACCTGAGTGGCACTCTGTGCGAACCTTTTCGAATTGTTTATTTTAATTTGGATAATTTACACTGGAGGGAATTAAGTCTACGTGGCGCCTTTGGCGTAAACAGGGATAATGTGAGTGATCGCGTGATTCCACTCTGTTCAAGGATTGTAATGGAGCTGCTGTCACGTGCCAGTCATGAGACGAATCACATGATGGAAGGATACAAATACTAATTTGTGGAACAAACAGGTTCATTTTTTGACTTGTTTTTAAATTGAATCGGGCACATTCTGAAGCATATGGATATTGTGTGGGATGGTGAGCTCAATGCAGTGCAGCCATTAGGACTTTAGTGTCAGATACTAAGCTCAGCGAACTGAAGCAGTACATAGGATAAACAAATCTACAAGTCAGGTAAAAGTTTGGTTGTGTGCACTGTACACTTGCCTCTTGTTATAATTTACTAAGCCCAGCTGTGGTAATAGTCAATATATAACCGGCTGGCTGCTCTGTTTTTCCCCTGTCATTCTCTCTTTTAGCTGTGTCTCTCGTTCCTCTCTGCAGGTGACATATCGTGTTGTTCAGGTGACAGACCAGCAACTTGAGGGAAGAGATGATGGGGCAGGAGCAATGAGTGTTGTCTCAACAACTGGCTTCACTGGGGCCTCTCAGGCTGTGACTCAGGTACCACAATCTCCGCTTTTTATTGATTCAAGAGAAGTGTTATTTTTTCTCTATAAGTGTCTCCCTGTAGACCCTATAACCAGCAATGAATTCATCCAACTAACAAGTAATGTTTGTGTAGATACAGTGTGACGTCAGTCATGTCATAAAACTTCATTGCAGACCAAAGACTATTAAAAATGTGAAAGAAACATACCATTGTTCTAGGTGACACTTTCTTTTGTTGTGATTAAAGCAAAAACTGTAGGAGATTCCATTGAGCTCATCTGCAAAAATAAATAAATACATTTTAAAAAGTATAAGCAGTAAAGCATGTGGCTGGGTATGATGTGTGCTTGGCAGCTGTTCACAGAGATTAAAAATGCAGCCACAGAATTTTTTTAGAATAAGGTGCAATGGCAACATTCACAGACTAATTCAGAATATGTTTTTGGTCAAAATATTCATTTTTCCTTATAAGAACAGACCAATTTGTACTGTACTATTTGCCTTACCGATTATGCTGTTGTCTCTGCTAACAAGATCACTGCTGCTTCTTTTTCACAGCTGTCAATCTGTGTCTGTGTCTGGTTTGGGGGTCTAGAGAGGATACCAGTATTGAGTCTGAGAAAGACTGAGATGTACATTCACCTGCTGTGGCTGGGCCCCCCCCCCTCCGTCCAAGTCTCTTCTCTCTGTCACAGACTGTGATCCAAAACCCATTCAGTAATGGAGGAAGCCCAGCAGGAGAGGCGATGGGGGGGGAGACACGCTTTGCTTACTTCCCTGCAACCGCGGTGAGCGACGGGACTGTGTCAGTGCAGGCCACTACAGACCCCACACTTACTCAGGCAGGGGGTGAGTCAGTTCTCACACTTAATTTGGGTTGGAGCTTATCACAATGCTACAGGGATAACTTAGCCATTATTTTCAGTGAAAAGCAGGAGTCCGTTGGGAGTACCTTACAGAAAAACAACAATGCTTTTTCAGTAGTTTTAAAGGAATACCAGCTGCACTGATTTGGGGTGTTGTGAACAAAGATACTGTAGACTGTTGCAGTTTTATGATGGTTAATCACTTGAGGCCAGGCAGGGCTTGATTGAACTGGAGAGAAAGATGTAACCTCTTGGCTCTGTTATACACAAACAGCATGTACTTGTCCTGTATTATAGATAGTTAGATACTTTATCTGGTCCCGAAGGAAAAGCAGGTATTCGGTAGCAACAATAGTTACCAAAATCAGAGCACACCAAAATAAAGAATTGTCTAAAAAAATAAATCTAAAATACAAAAAAAATATAAAAATATAAATATCCAGTAATGTGTGCCAAGTATACAGTTGACATAAAATACACTTACTAAAGTAAATGTGCATAAAATACTTGGCTGCAAATGCCAATATGTGCAAGAGTGAACATTATGTACAAAGGTATAACAGTGCAGTAGTATAGTATCATTGTGAAGTGGGATCATAATATTATGGAGCTGAGTCGTGACATCACATGTCCATGTCCAAAAGTCCATATCAGACCTCCTCACTGGGAGGAGTCGAAGAGTCATATGGCCTCAGTCTGTTTGTGGAACAGGAGAGAGACGGCAGCCTACTGCTGAATGAACTCCTCTGCCTGCTGATGGTGCTGTGCAGAAGGGGGTAAACATTGTCCAGGATGGACAGCAGCTTACTGAGGGTCCTCCTCTCCCATACAGATGTAAGGGAGTCCAGCTCTACACCCACTATAGAGCCAGCTTTTCTCACCAGCTTGTCCAGCCATGAGGCGTCTCTCTTCTTAACGCTGCTTCCCCAGAACACTACAGTACAGAAAAGGTTGCTGGCAATAACAGAACATTTGAAGCAGCTTCTTGCAGAAGTGCAGCCTGCTCTGTTACTTCTTGTACAGTGCGTCTGTGTTGGTGGACCAGTCCAGTTTGTCATCCAGCTGCAGACCCAGGTATTTTTAGATCTGCTCGATGGATATTGGCTTCAGGTAGGGTTTGGACCCCCGGAAGTCTACCCCCACTTTTTGGTTTTGGAGGTGTTAATATGTAGGTGGTTAGACTTGCACCATGCCACAAAGCCCTTCACTGTACTCATCCTCGTGTCCATCCCTGATACACCCCACGACTGCACTGTCTTCAGAAAACTTCTGCATGTGGCATTACTCTGAGTTGTATTTGAAGTCTGTGGTATACAGGGTGAACAGGACGGGGGAGAGCACTGTCCCCCGTGGTGCTCCGGTGCTGCTGACCACCGTCTGGGGTGCAGTCCCTCAGCCTGACATACTGAGGTCTCCCCGTGAGATAGTCAGTAATCCAGGACACCTGATGTGAGACTACTCCCATCTCTATCAGTTTGTCTCTTAGTAGCAGGGCCTGGATGATGTTGAAGAAGCTGGAGAAGACAAAAAACATGATCCTCACAGCACCATCCCCCCTGTCCAAGTGAGAGAGAGAGAGAGAACGGTGAAGCAGATAGAAGATGGCATCCTCCACCCCCACCTTCTCCTGGTATGCAAACTGCAAAGGGTCGAGCACCTGGCAGACCTGGGGTCTGAGGTGGTGTAGCAACAGCTGCTCCAGGGTCTTTATGGTGTGTGACATCAGGGCGACCGGCCTGAAGTCATTCAGTTCCATGGGGTGTGGCTTCTTGGGGACAGGAACGAGGCAGGGTGTGTTCCACAGTACGGGGACCATCCCCAGTCGCAGGCTCAGGTTAAAGACATGCCTGAAGGGACTCTCCCAGCTTAGCAGCACAGGCCCTGAGTAATCTTGGACATACTCTGTCTGGGTCGCCTGCTTTGCTGGGGCAGAGTCTCCTCAGCTCTCCACTATCCTCAGCTGCCATTATGGTGGATGGGGCTAGGAGGGGTGGTAACTTGGGGGCGAGGGAGCATCTGTGGCTGGCAGGGGGTGATGTCATTGCATCCAATGGTGGAAGGAGGTGTGAGGGTGACAGTAGAACCAGCTACAGCAGCAGTAGAAGGTGCAGCAACACAGTGGCAGGGGGGGCAAAACAGTGGCAGGGCAGTCAAACCTGTTAAAAAAGTTGTAAAACTGGCCAGCTCTCCCCACACCCCCCTCCACTGTGTTCTCCTACTTTGTACTGCAGCTTGTGATCATCCTCACCGCATGACTCCTACAGCACTCCCCAGTCAGTAGACTGAAAGCTGTCCCTCAGAGCCTCCTCAGCCTCAGGAGACCACTTCGTGAGGGAGCATGTGGAGGTGGAATGCCTGACTACCTGTGGTTTGTAGCAAGGCTGGAGAAGAACCAGACTGTAGTCTGATTTTCCCAGTGGTGGCAGAGGAGCGGCATCCTTTACATTAGCATACAGGATGTCAATAGTCCTCTTTTCTCTGGTTGGACATCTTCAGCCAGATCTAGATTTAGTGGAGACACTGTTGCAGATGGTTGGAAGTCGACTGGTGGATTGTGAGTATTTTCCTGTGTATAAATGAGGTGAACCCTGTAGGTCCCAGGGTTTTATGAAAAAGAGTGTGGTGCCTGGACAGTGGTTATTGGAGAAATCTGTAATTCTTCATGTGGTGTTTGTGCTGCCATCTGTGCCTTTTGCTGGTCTGTGGTCTGAAAAAGCCTGAAAGAGGGTCCAAAAGAATTATATTTGGTATGAGCTATATGAAGATAAAAGCAGAGCAGAGGAGCAGAGACAAGAGGTATACAAAGAATAAAGCAGTACTTGCCAAATCTTTGCAGCACAAAATGAACTGCTGTCTTCCTTTTCTGTGAGCCTGAGACAGTTAAGCAGGGGCGACATGCTGACGGAGGAGGGCACCGTTGGATATAGTTGGAGAGTGCTTTTCAAAGTCTTACAAGGTGAGGGATAGTGCAGGAGAGTGCATGAAGCTCTGGCAATGAACCACATCCTGACAAGACTGAATCCTGGAGTGGGGAGTTCTTGACCTGTTTATGGTGTCTTAGAGTGTGCTGTGAGTGTGCAAGCATTAGCATTTTTGGTTTTCACTTTTTTCTAAATGTATTTTTCACCCAAAAATGTTATGTCAAAATGAGTCCAAAAGTATATTTTTTTCTATCAAGATACTTTAAGACAGTTTTAATTAAATGAGCTAAGAAACAGCAGCATTGAGGGAAATGGCCTAAGAATTGTACTCAGGAGTCTCTCATCATAAATTTGTTTTCAAAAGGGACAAATTACTGATGGCTCAAACTGAAAACTGCATTTTTAGCATAACATTATAACCAAGATTATGTTAAGATATTTTTGAGATTCAAATTAAAGTCCTAACTATTGTTCTGTCTACATGCTGATTGTACATGAGAGCTTTCTGCGGTGTAAAGGTCGTTCTGTGTGCCCATGTGGAATTAACATTTGATGAGATGATTTTTAATTATTTTTTCTTTCAGTGAATGCAGCGTGTTTATTGTAAGGTGTTTCATTAGACCAACAGGAGTCAGTCTTGCATGCCATATTATCCTCTCTTTTTTCTCATTGCTAACTAATGACTCCCATGGCTTCCACGGCTACAGGTCAGTTTTACGTGATGATGACCCCCCCTGATGTAATTCAGACAGCCACTGCGAGAACCATTGCCCCACGCACGCAGCCCTACCCTGTGTAAGTATCAGTTCTGTCAGTTGCTGTTTAGGAAAAGGAAATGTCTTTGATAATGTTTGAGAAAACAAACTCACACCTGATCAGTTCTTGTAAAGTACAGTCCATCAGTGTTGTCCTCCATGTGAATGCTACTTGAAATAGGCCATTTCATGATCCTAGCATACACGTGCGTTTTGGTTTGAGGTTAAAAGTGGGACTGTTTTTTAATGTTCAGTGTACAGAGCCATTCAAAGCTGTTAACTTAGCTTAACTTGGCAGTGTGACTGTGGTCTTGTGTCGCTCCAGAACAGATGTGCACACAGACTTCGTTCAGTCCAAGACACCCCGCCATGGTTTCATATGATAGGATTTTTCTATGGACATATGGCTATCAAAAAAACTTCCATGTCTGTTTGAATCACCATGAGGCCAGATTTATCCAGTTCTGTTATTCTGATTTTCTTTAACGTGCACTCCAGATGGTGTTCCTGCCCTGGGAGTCTCCCTTATCACACTCCTGAGTTTGCTGTGAAGGCAGATTTTATATCAAGGTTGTTTAGTTTAGTACACCCAGGTTGGCCTGCTTTCTTCCGCTCCTTCAAAATCCGGTGGTGTTTATCTATAAAACTCACACCATGCATCATTATAATCATGCATGAAAAAAGGGATCCATCTCAGACTCTTTCCAACTGTTAGCCACATGCTGGTGATTGTTGTTATTAACATAATCAGCAGGCTCACCTGAGCAAAGATAAACTGAGTTGTCATTTTAATTGCACAATACCAGCCTGTTTCTGCTTACTACACATAACTATTCAGAAAAAACAATCCCAACATGCTTTATTTAATTTTCACTCTACCAAAAACGCATTGGGACATTGGTCCTAATGCTGAGATGAAAGGTTCTTGAATGTCAAGCAACTCATTCTTCTTGTTTGGTAAAAGCCAAAGCGCATTTTATTGTTTGCTAACTCAAAATGAATACATGACATATTATATTAGGCTTGTAGCTACCTAAATGAATATTGCCCCATTTCCCACTATGCTCATACTTGACCTTAAACTCAAGTAACTGACTGTATTGTAGTCATTTAGCTAGCGTTCCTATATGGAGTGACTGCCAGGTTGTTTTACATGAGGGCACAACATATTAATGCTGGTTCTTGTAGGCAGCATATACTGTGCACTTCTTGTTTATTTGCTCCTTATTATAGTTTTAAAACACAAATAGGAGACACACCACACCTTTAACTGTTTCTGCCTTTTATTTATTGTTGTTAGTTTGGGTATATAAGGATGTTTACTGCCTCTGTGGTTTTGAGTAACTTTAGATTTATCAAAGATTTAATTTCCTTTGTTGTTGGCAGCATAATGGGGAGTTCTAGATCCACCTTAAGCTTGGCAGTAGTCCTGCCATATCTGATGTAGCTTGATGTTCACAGCACACAACAGACTGCTAAAGACGGAAGAACAAGCTTTGATGAAGTGTTATGTCTGCATTGCTGTGTCTGAGTGAAAGTGAATAGTTTTTTTTTTTTCATCTCTCAGAATCTGCGCTTTGTTTCTTTTTATTTCCTCATGAATAATTTATGGTTTTGACACAAGCCTCAGTTATATTTAAGTGTAAACTAATGAGCAGTGACATTATCACTCACACGTGAGTCAACTGAAAACATCCCACCTTATCTGCAACATAGAGCTTTAAACTGGTGAGGAGACTTTGCATACTTCTCCCATATTATTCCTTTTGGAGCAAATGTACTGATCAAGTTGGATCACAACAAGGAAGAAGCACCCAAAACTTTGCCATCCTCTTCTCTCTGCCCATGCCAGTGATTCTTCGTGCTCTGTATGTGTGATACACAAATGTAGTAATTCTTCAGCACTGACCCCAATCCATTGCTGTTAGTTGTGCTTGTGGCAAATCTGTTTTTCCATTAGAATTTAGAAATTAGGTCAGTGTACTCCATATGGAAACTAATGGCTCTTTCCACATTTTTATTTTAATACCATTTTCAAAGTGTTCTCTGGTGTAGTTTACGTTTTATTCTCATTTTGTCTAATCTAGAAATAAGTTTGGTTTCCCTTTGGAAAGTATTTGAGGTTTGTGAAACTTGTGTCTTGTTGATATGACAGTAATACTGGGACAAATCAAGCCTATGTAACAGTTTGTACAAATGCAGTTAAAGGTCACTGAGGCTCATGATTGTTTACATCATCCTTTCAGAGAATATAAAACCCAAGCTGAAGTCCTTTGTATCTCGATGTACATTTCACTGACTCATTATCCAGGCCCTGGCGTGGTGGAATACTGTAGCCTAATAATAGGGGAAGGCAGAATAAGTGAAAATTACATTTCTCTTTCATGCATCACTATAACTTTGTCCAAATTTAGTCCTCTAATACATTCATACTTTCAGATTAAACGAATAAAGTGCTTCATTGGTGGGACTACGTTCATTTTCTCGATTTTTCTGGTAACAATTACTCCAAGTAGCACCTAGATGGGCTGTGCCTCTGTATGGTGTGAAAGGTAGAAATAGAGACACACATTCTCTTGGCCTGTACATATATTTATTCATACAGTCATCCACATTTTTTTACCCTTCGCCTAAGAATGCCGTTGAGATGAATCCATTATACAGTTGAAATCCCATTAAGATGTGTTGAGATACAAGAGAGAATGCAGTTTGGCTTAGCTGACTATGTCAGACAGACATATTCACTGCTGTACAATAAAGATGTGACGAGGAAGAATGGCCTTACAGGATGTTCGTTAACTTCATACAAGTAGGCGGAATGCATCCTGTAAAGAATGGTTACAATATTTTTCTCATAAGAATTTCTTTTGCAAAGAGATTATTTTTCTGCTCTGTTCTTTTGCTTGGTTGTTGATTCATTTTCAGGTGAAGTTTTGTCTATTCCATTAGTGAGGCAGACCATGATTGGGATGTATAGTAAGCCGCCTATGCGATTATACTGTATGTGAGGGTGTTATTGGCCTGTTCGTGCAGTGGTGGGTGGTTGGATAAGTCTCCCTGTCACGTCTCAGGGACTTAATTAACAGAATACCTAAGGGGAGACAGAGACAAGAGGCAGTTGTGTCATTAGCCGTACGCCCAGACTCCAATAGACAGCATCTGCTTTTCTACAGTGTTGTAATTTTACAGCATAATAAAGCAGTGCACTCCCTCTGGGCCACACCTAGGAAGAGGACAGCCAACAAGAATAAAAAGGTTGGACAGGTCTCAGTATTCCAGTCAAAGCAGCTCAGCTCCAGGCCATCAGGGGGCTCGGGACTGAATATGGATGTGTCTGTCTCAGTATTTCTACTAAAGGCACAACACAACTTGGCAGGCTCCATTTTAAATGGCACAGTGGTGGCAAAGCCTATGGTTACAAAGGCTTCTTTAAATTGTCACCTGTCTGTAACTTTGAAGAACAAATTTCAGTAGGCACAAAATTAGGTGAATTTTGGGGAATGGGTTGGATTTTTACTTGATTGCATGGTCAGAGATGGGAGATATTGTAGCATTTAAAAAGTGTTTTATTTCCGGTCTGTCTGCAGGAAAATGGATGGACCACGAACACCAAGAGATGAAAGGAGAAGAGCGCAACATAATGAAGGTGGGCAATTAGCTATGATTGTAGCCTTTGATTTCAGCAGACAGTGCATTGTGGTGCCCAAATAGAACATTTTTGTTGAAAGAAAATTACCAAGCCCTGTCAAAACATGCTGTTAAGAATAGTTAACTAATGTTTTGAGACTGGCCACTAGAGGTTACTGTTGAGCTGTCAAACCCAGGCAGTATTTGGTACCTAGAGTCACTGAAATGACAAGATCTAGGAAATGAAAACCAAAATGTCCTTGATATCTCAATGTAAATGTAAAACAAAATCGGGAAGTGCTGTTTGTATTTATATATTTACATTTATTTTATGTATATTTGTTAACCTGTTTCTATTTTATAATATTCAATTAGTTGAGAGGCGGCGAAGAGACAAGATCAACAACTGGATTGTCACCCTTTCTAAGATAATCCCAGACTGCAGTATGGACAGCACCAAGACAGGAGCAGTAAGCAGTTTTTTACTTGACTCTGCACAGCTGCTAAGGTTTTACTGATATTACCGTCTTTACCTTTTCATCTTTCAAGTGTGTGATGATGTCCCTGTTCTTCTAGAGCAAAGGAGGCATCCTGTCCAAAGCTTGTGATTACATCCATGAGTTGAGGCAAAACAACCAACGACTGCAGGAGAGTCTGAAGGAAGTGGAGAGGATACAAGTGGACAATGAGTTGTGCAGGCAGCAGGTGTGAATATCAGTCTTTGCTTTAGCCTGCAAATTCTGGCAGCAAGTGAAGTTTTCATGAATTGAGTAATGGGTAGAGAAGGTCTATGAATGATAATGCCAGGCTCTTCCTTTGAGGTGATTGGGTGTAGCAGATAAGTAAACTTGCACAAAATAGAGCAGCCATAGTGAGCTGCATATGTGCCTGTGAAGACTACCATTGCATTGAATAGATCGGTTTGCTTTGGAGTGCGTTGCAGCATCCTTTCACTTAAGTCTCAGAAGCATGAAATCCACCTAGCCCCACATGCGTCTTTATTTCTCCAAAACAACCCCTGTGAGACTTCAGTCTGTATAGCTGATCATCACAGCCTGACAAAGAGGATCAGAGAGTTTGCGCTCGTATGAGGAGAAGTGTTACCTGAAATCAGCACTTTGAGAGAGTGTGGGAATAATATACACAAGGCTTGTGTGAGAACTGACTCCATGCTAATATCCTCAAAGTATTGTGAAATCTTGTAGCTCTGAGGCTGCATCATTTCCCCATTGACTCCAGGGCCTGCGAGACATTCTGCAATATGTTCTTACTTTGATGCTCAAAGCGCAATATCCTTCCCTCAGCCCCTCAGTGGGGAGGCACTGAATAAGGGATTCACCCTAGGGAAATATGGCAGAAATGACATACCTCAAGATTTGATAATCCACTTGGTTGTGGACATGAGTGTTTTGAAAGGGGCTGCACATACTCCTTTTTAATCCTAGGGATTGTGCATTTACATCACACACACAGCCAGTCTTTAAATCAAAAAGTTTGTTCTGTAAACTTATCAATGTCTTTAGCTGTTACTAGGATGGAGATGTTGATACTCTAATGAGATTTTTTTTTTGCTCTTTGTTGTTAAGATTGAAGAGCTGAAGAATGAGAATGCTTTGCTCCGAGCGCAGCTCCAGCAGCATGGTATTGAGATGGTTGGAGAGACACCACCACAGTGACAGAGGGACGGAAGGAACGCCGAGGAGAACCATCACTCCAACACATACTCAACATAGTGGAAAAGAAGGCGAGATGATTTAAAAAATGACTTGTGAAGAATCACTTTGCTGTTAGTGGATGCATCTTCCCTGGGTTCCCAGGGAACTTTCAGCATCCAGTTGTGGCTGAACTTGACTGTTCCAGTCCTAATGAGATAACCACCCGTTACGGCTCAGCAGAAATGTGCTCCAAGAAATGAGGCGCACTCGCCACCACCAGAACGCTTTGCTCGCACTAGCTATGAAAGAGAATTTTGTATTCATGTAGCCTCGTTCATGGACTATAATGTTTGTCGTTTTGTTCCCTGTTTGTGTGTTGTTGTTTTTTTCAATAATTAATTTGGATTTAGTTCCTGCTTTTATTCTGGTTTTCTTTACATTGTTTTTTATCTGGTTTAATTTATTAATCCACTTGCTGATAGAAGCCTCAATGGATACCAGTTACATGGAAGCTCATCCCCCTCAGAGAAGCACATTGAGTCTGAAGTGTGCACAACATTGAGTTTATAGACAGAAATAATGTGGTACACACAGGATAGCTAGTCCCAAAGACTGTGCTGGCCTGTGCTTTTGGGCTGATTTATGTAAATAGGACTTTTCATGTTTTAATACAGATGTTATAGAGGGTTAGAGCAGATTATCTCTGGGTGTAAACAATCAATGACTCATAAACTTTATGCTGGCACTTTGTCAAACATACCATGAATTGTGTGTAATCAAGAAGCTTGATTTGGACAAAAAAGTTACATATTTGAATTGCTGGGAATTTGCTTAGCCAGAAAAATGACTCAAAGTCAACAAAATTGTATGTAACAATCCAGTTGTTTGAGTGCTAGTTGATTACAAATTGAAATACACAATTGTGGAACATGTAGACAAACCCAGGGCCCCAGATTGTGGAGTGGAGTGCAATGCAAATCACAACTTTTGCTCAACTATATATAGGTACTGTGGGTTTTTATTTTCACATTTTGTTTGTGTGGTTTACCAATGTCTCTGTACGTGTAAGAATAATCCCCCACATGTTTCAATTCAAACAGTTTGCTCTATTTTGGTATTTCAACACTTCAAATGGAGCTTGACGCACATGAGGGGAGAAGCACCCTGGAGAGCGGTGCTCAGACTCCCTGCTCACTATGGAAAAGGAGTACACAGAATTGGTGTTGCACTTAGTTGAATACAACTTGTTCTTCATGAAAAGATGGAATAGTTGGAAAGTGGGAAACTTGGAAATGATCTCACTTATTTCTCCACCCACTCAGGTGAACAAAAGGTCAACTGTAATTGGTTGTACAAGCTGCAAAAGCCAATATTAACATTGATGAAGATTTTTATGAATGAATATACATGATTTATTTTTGTTCCTCTTTGGGCAATGGATGTGGAAGTGGAAGAGGGATATTAAGCTTCGGAGCCACTTATTAGAGCACCTCTCTCTCTATCAATAGCTCAGGATCCAGCAAAGCAAAACCAAGGCTCAGACCCCTGGCCCAACCAGGCAGACTATCACATTTTTTATATCTCAGTATCTGTAAGTTAACAGCGTGTGCTTTGGAAGTTCTGTTCTGGTACTACTGCTAGATTCAAACCAGATACAGATTGTGCAAGTGTGTGATCTATGAAATGAGGCTCATAGCCAAAGTTGAGCGATAGATGTTTTGCAGTACATTTTTTACACCTTGGTGAAAGGAGAGCAGAGAATGTGAAAACTAAGAAATGAATAGCCCTTTGAAAGACAGATAATCACAAATGAAAGGTCATTCATGGCTAATTCTTTTATTTCACTCATTTCTTTTTGAAATGTCAACAGAAAGGAAAAAAAGACTGTAGCAGCCTCATTGTTCTCAGGTTAGATTGTAAGACATCTTTTATAAGTAAAAAGGTGGAAAATAAAACTTTCACTTGCTAATAACCTTGGACTTTGCTTGTTGCTCACTGTCCTGCAGGTCTTGGACATATACAAAACTCAATATTCTGTTACTAGTGTCAAGTTGGCTTTAGTACCTCATGTTTTCCCGTCAGCAGGTTGTCTGGAAATGGGTTCAGATTTCTGTGTGATTTGAGTCATGGGCTTCACTGTACGTTCAGGCTCAACTCCTGAACTGTGGAGAGTTAAAGCAAAATTCATATTCTACTTGGTTTTTTGGTAATAAGACAAATTGTTCACTGGGGCATATCTGCTGTTTTAGGATTTTAGATTTGTCAGCTCTGCTACAATTTCACAATTTTTTTAAATCAAAATTGGTACATAAAATATTAAAATCCCTGCGAGCGTAATCTCAAAAATTCATGACTAAATCTGCAGCCATCAAAGTTTGAAAGAAAAAATTTCCTTTAGTTATTACTCAAGATTTAACAGTAAAGGTAGGCAACTATTGTGCATAGTAAAAAAAAAAATCATTTTTTAAAACAAGCTTATAATTTACTTAAAACTCCTACAGTTGCCTATAGGTTTGCCCACACATCTACTGTAAGAGATGCTTAAACATTTGATGGCATTTTCACCCATAAATGGCCTTACACCATACATTTCAATAACAAGATCGAGTGAAATTAAATATCGAAATTTACTGAGTTAAAAACACTGAGATTTGGTTTTAGGCGGTGATCTTGGACATCATGGAGGTGACGGGGAGGAGGTGTTGTGTGATCGTAGGTCTACAGTTTCAACACCCGCTAAGACAAGCCAGAAGAATTGTAATTATATTTCACACACAGTAGAAGCCCTGCTTTATTAGTTTATTATGTAGGTTTTGGAGCTGTGAGCTGTGTTAACTTTAGCTTTTATTCATTCTTTGTCACTCTCTGCGATTAGAGATGTGGGGTTAAGCAGCATTTAATAGTACAATACACACATTATGCACCACAAACTAATTGGAAAGTTGAAATTTGTGACCAATTTAGCTCCAAGTGGTAAAAATATATAATGTAAAGGAAAAATGTGCTTACCGACATAGAATATAATTTGGCTATATCCATTTTGGAGAGCCATCAGGACCATTTCATGAAATAAACACTATTTGAAGCATATTTTGTTTACAACCCCACAGTATCACTTACCTGGGAATATAAAGCCACAGGCAGTTTTTTAGATTGTAATATAATTTTTTTTTTCCCCCCAGAGGAAGCAATTTTTTTTACATTTATTTTTAAATTTAGAGTCCTGCTGCTCTGTTTCTGTGTCACCTTGAGTGTTTCTGACACTTTTACAAGACAGCTTTGGCCGTTTTCTCTCTGGCAAGGCCTTATTTATTCATATAGTCAGTGTGGTTCAGGAGCTACAGCTGTTTTAATTTGGGTATGTCAATAAAGACGTCTTAGCTCGAAAATAGGGGTCAGTGAAGAGGTTTTTAAAGAATGGCAGCCAGTGATTGACTTGAGAAAAGCAGGCAGAAAGATTCCTCGTCAGATATGGTGACTTCAGGATTAGAGGAGGAGGGAGATTTGACAGTGAGGGGAAGCAGAAGTGACAAAGAGAAGCAGAGTTGGTGTAAGTAGCCCACCTGAACCCACTGAGAAACAAGCACACTGTGAAGGAAGAGATCTTTCTTATTGAACTTTAGCCAACGCTTCATCTAAATGTCCATTTGTTCATTTTACCTCCTTTGAAAATTTGCAGTTTGCCTTCGTACAAACCTCAATTTTTTTGACTTTAAATATTCTCAAAAAAATCCCAAGAGTTTTTTTTTCTCTGAAAAAAAACCTGCTGAAATGAAAAATCTGAAGGACAAAGCACAACAGTTTTGTTACATTCTTCCTTGTACTTTAGTTTAGAAATGGCACATTTAGAGGATTCTGTGTCCTTGGAGGAAGTATGCACCCTCTGCATGCTCTCTAGTTGATAAAACCTACACACTGTTAAAAGTGAAACCAGTCAGTAGTTAGAACACAGAGGGCACCTTGGGTGAGAGAGATCAATGATGGATAAAAGGCGCATCTAAGCCCTTATTAAGATTCATTTTGACACCTCAGCTCTGATGCGTTTATGCAGCATTGTGCTGTTCTTAGAGGGACCACAAAATCTTTTAACAGTAAGACTATTTATAGCTTAGAGTCATTAGATTGACACCATGCTTTAAATTTGCCTTGGCTTTGTCTTGCCGCAGCCTGCCTACCTCACATCTCCAGGCTTGTCAGCTGCCTTTCGAACACACAGCTAACCAGGCAGGCAGGCGGGCGTCTGTGTGTCCCTGTCTCTGTTTGAAGTGGCTGATCTCTGATCCCACATTCCTCTCTGATTGGGACACACTGTATGTCTCTGTTTGTCTGTCTCTTTTACCCCAAACCTGTGAAAGGTCCGTGAAATAACCATGCAGAATTGAAATGAACTTGGTTTGGAAAGGAAATCTAAATGTCATACAGACATGGGTTTCTTCTCTAACAAATGTGATATAAAATATGTACCAGGGAATGACACTTTCACCTCTTAGTGCAGGAAAATCACTTAATTGGAAGAGGAAAGTGTCTCCACTTTGAGCAGAATAATTGTTATTGCTGAAGTGATTTTGAATGTATTTGATACAGTGCTTTATGTCTGGTCAGTACCAAACAAATGCCACAGTTTCATGTCCTGCAGGTTTGTCTTCCCTTTATGCTTGAGCGCACTGTCTGGTGTGTGTGTTGTTCACTGCCTCAGCCTGTTTCACATTCCCTCGATCTCTGAGGTTGTTATTTGTTGAAAATGGCTGACAGAAAGAGTCTTATTCCATCTGACATACAATGCTCCTTGTTCCTTGTGTACCATGCTGACTATCTTCTTTCTTGGGCCTACATTAATAACTACACAGCACCTGTCTTGCTCGTAATAGTAGTATCAGCACAAAGGTATGTATTCTGCTACAGCCAAGAAATGAGGGATGAGCTCCGATTTTTTTTTAAGCAGCCATAGTCTCAGATTCTACAGTATCTTAGGCACTGATCATCAACAGGATTTTCAAATTTCCAACCAAATGCCAGCTCAGTTCACAATTAGATTAGATTAGATGTTACATCAGGAATTACAGTATGTTCTTTGAAATTATTAGTGCAATTTTTAATATTAAGTCCAGCTATCTAATGCACTCCCCTATTGTAAAAGGTGTATTAGACTCAGAGTTCAGCTTTAAATCATATAAGAGAATGAACACAGCAGCAGTCTTCTGAAATATTGTATGGCCTTTCATAAAGCAGCAAGATGCAGAAATATATGCTGTCATCTCAAGCAGGCAAGAGTTTTACTGCAGTGTTTCTTTCTTAAAACTGTACTGAAACAAAGCTGAGTTGTTAGACTACACTATAATAGAGAACATAGTGTCACAACATTAGCTCTCTATTGTAAAAATCTTGTGATTGTAGAAAAAAAAAACATCTGAATGGATTTTTGGAATGGATTGGTACAATGTAAATATGGTTAAATCCTATTATTATTATTTTTAAATAGTTTAAGAAACTGTTGGCTCATTTTTGCATGTAATTAGGATTGACCCTATCTGCTAATGTTGTGGAATTTCCAGTAGTCTAGTTTAACATGCCACTTTTTCCACACAAACTGGGGAGTTTCCCACATTAACCATCCTCAAAGTGCAGCAACCTGAGCGCCACATTGCCCCCGGAGTCTGAGTGACATTGCATTTGTCGGGAACAATACATGGCGAGTGGCCATGATCATGATATGTTCTTGTTTATTTACGTGTTTGTGATGTACCAACACTTTTCTGTTTTTGCCCCAGTTCTGAGGGAAGATGTAAGGACTCAGGGCAACAGACTGGCTGTGTTGACAGCCAGTGTTTTGGGAGGTGAGGAGTGTTTTGCGCAGTGGGTTCAGTAGCAGACAAGCTGACAGAAGATGTTTAATGCGTGGAATATCTTATAGCTCCATATAAAGCAGGTAGAGATGAAGGGGAAGAAGGAAAAGGGATGCCAGTATGAACAGGGACAGGAATAGAGGACGATGATGAAACAGGGACAGACGGGGGCAATGCCCTCAACCAGGAAAAAAAGGTACAGTGGCGCCTGCTGGGGCGAATCTGTCCGTCATGCTGGTGCCTGGCTTTGTTTGGCCAGAAGATTCCTACTGATAGCCTCAGTGACTCTTAAGAGACATGCACGGTCAGGAAAACACAGGCCCATATGTACCTGGAAAACCCAGATCTACAAACTAGTAGATGTATTATTTTTGTCTTCTTGGTCAACCAGTGTCCTATTTAGATTTCTCATGAGCTGAGTCACACAAACGGAATGACGTGCTCATTGTGAGTGGACATGATGTGCTAGTTCAAAAAGAGCTGCCGTGTCCTTCAGTCGTACACAGACATGCATAAAGTAGCTCTCCCATCATTATGATAAATGCCTAGATTCTCACAGTAGTGGAGCCATTCATGGTTGTATTTGTTGACACTGATGTTGTGGTCACCCAAAGCATGCACACGGGCCAGCGGGGTTATCAGTGAACGAGACAGACTGACGCAGTGGTCCTGTCATGTTGTTTCACTAGCTGAGTCAGTTTGGACGGACTTTGAAGGTATAATGAGAATTCCAGTGGCCCCTGATTTTATCAACGTGCACAACCCACTGTCTATAAGTTTGAGCCTTTGCTTTGCCTTTCTGTTATTTCATTTCTACCATTATTGATTTTTGTATTTTTGGAATAATTTAGTTACACTGGCAGGTTAATTAATCTTATCACTGATAAGTGAGAAAAACAGCCCTTATAATTTTAGAGTTGTGATTTATTTGGGTTATCATACTATGTCGTTGTTCTTAAATACACATCATTTTAATTTTACAGTTTCAGATAGTTGTGATTTTATTAACAGTTGTATTCCAGGAAATTAGTAATTATGTTTTAACGAAACAGAAGCAGCTGTTACACTGTATGTTACATATATGTTTGGGGTTTTGTTATGTGAGAATGATGCATTGAGGTGCATACTATAAAAAAGACGCCTTGTGTCATGCACATAAAGTCATGATACAATATAGAATATATATGTTTTGTTGCCGGTTTAAACAACTAAAGCAATGCAACCTTTTGCTGTCCATAGCAAACCTCATCAAGTTACATTATATTTATTTTTAACTAAAACATACTGCAACACCTTGACTCTCAAATAAAGGTTTTTATTCCCGAGTACTAGTCCATTCCTCTCAAAGGGATTTAATTTGGTTCAACTGCAGGTTCCTGTGTATTATGCAAAAACTGAATGTGTTGGAAATGAGGGGCTAATTATTCCATTTGAGAGGTTGTAATTACATCCTTTAGACTGAGCAATGACTATTCTAAAGTGGCTCCCTTTCCTTAGTGAAGGATTTCCTGGGCCGAAACAAGTGCAGCTCAGTCAGCCGTGCAGTAGATTGACCCGTGTAGTCCTGGCCTGTACTGTGGGACTCTTCAAACCTCTCTCCCCATTTGTTCCAGAAAAAGTCACATCTGCAAGTATTAAGCACCACAGCAATACAGAATACATATACCTGTCATACTATACTGTAAAATTATGGTATCCAGCAGCAGTAGTGTATTCATGCATGGAACAGTGTGTTCTGTCTGCAGAAAGTAATTTAATTTAAAAGACCAGAGCTGATTTAATATTGCTGAACAGACAGTGGAACCCACAATCAAAAATAGATCAGAGAAATTCCCCCAGTGATGCAGACCTATGAAGAGTAGAAATGATGAGGTCAAAACTTTCCCAGTGGAGTTAGGTAACGGCTGCCAGGAATGGGCCGGGCCTCCTGTAGTGATGAGGCAACACTCAGCCAAAGTGTGTATAAATACCAGCATACCCTGCACACTCAACCATCAGACAGCGGAAAGACTTGAGAAAGAACTGAAAAGGGTCACCAAACGATCGGAAGCAGTCCTCTTAATTGAAGATATTGTGGTGCTCTTCGGTGGCCTGACCTCCATGAGAAACAAGACCTATCAACTCTAATCTTCACAGGATTTAATAAGTAAACCCTTTACCTCCACTAAAATGAAGACATTCAGCATTGCTGTTGCAGTGACACTCATGCTCGCCTTTATCTGCATTCTGGAGAGCTCCGCCATTCCATTCAAAGAGGTAAGAATTTGATTTAAACCCACTCTATTGCTTATTAGCTATAAACGCTTTGTCAGCATGCTAAAATGTGGCTCCTAAATGTGCACAATTCATTAACAGGTGCAAGAGCTGGAAGAAGCAGGGAGCAATGACACTCCGGTTGTGGCACATCAAGAGATGTCAATGGAATCGTGGATGGTATGTTCAATCGACTGAACGAATTAAGCCAATTATCGTGAGCAAATTAAAATTTAAGTGGATGTGTTTTCCCCACAGATTACACCGGTGCTCTCCGTACAAGGAGAGGATGAAATGTTGGAGATGAACACTTTACTTATGTCTCTTGTCTTTCATACAGATGCCTAATCACATCAGACAGAAGCGTTACAGCTATCTCTCCCTCTGCCGCTATTGCTGTGCCTGCTGCAAGAACTACAAGGGCTGCGGCATGTGCTGTAGGTTCTGACGGGTCCTGTGATGACCACTAAAATGTTAATTTATTACTCTTTTCCTCTTACCACAAGGGAAGACTTTTCTTGACCTCTTGAACTGTTTTGTTTCACTTTGAAGAGGCATGATTAATGGAAGAGCACTGCAGTAAAAGGTATCTTTTGTATTTATTTTGTACATTTGTAACACTTTTAACCTAAAGTTCTTTTGTAAGCTCAACAATGTCAAGTTGTTTCCAACAGTAATCCAGATGTGACTGTTTCTTTGTGTAAAGTGTCTGTAATAAATAATGTATATTTGAAGCAACTGCACAAATGTTTTTTGTTATTAATATAAAAAAGAATTTTAAAATCACAATGAGTCACTTTATAATTATCAGGGCATATAGTAGATCTTACACTTGTTTCTTCCACAGTATATGGAAATAAATCATAATACATTTAAGTGACAAAAGGCAATTTAAACACTCTGAACTGGAATTATGGTTTTTGCCTTGCTGTAGTTGTTGTTGCAATCAGTATCAATAACTCAGTAATAGCATTTGTTTTATGTTCTCACTGACAAGTAATTAAGAATGAGTTAACTGAGATACAGTTATGAAGCATTAACATTTATTCTAAGTACATATACACCAGTAAAAACAGTACATAATGTCTAAATGTTTTTTTTCTTTGTCCAGTAAGATTCTTTTTGTGGTTGGAATAAATAACATAAAAACCCTCACTTGTATTTTTCAGTTTTTGGTCTTTATACATATTTCATTTCATTTCTCAAAAGATTTTTTTTTCCTGAACAATCTGCTGGTGCACAAGAAGTAATTCATTTCCTGTTTCCTGGAATTTAAATAGACACAAGTTTCAGCTGAAGTAATTTTACTACTTCAGGTTACGTGAAATGTTAGTAGAAAATTCAAGAAGGTACCGATGAGTCAGGTTACAAAAAACCGGAGAAAAGAGACAATTGTTAAAATGACCTCTCTGGATTGTCAGTTTAAATTACTATTGGTCTTTCATGGACTGTATGATTTAACAGTAAGAGGGTTACTGACATGAATGGCTGTTACATAGCCTTTACAAGTTAATGTGTACAGGTATTATTTGAGCGTGCATGTTCATGTCAAGACATAAAGCAACGGGAGTGACCATAGCTGGACAAAAAGGGAAAAGCACTACACAGAGAAACTCAAACTTCATCCACAAGAAAAATCAAGCAAATCAAAATTGAGAGAAATGTGAAAAAAACTCTTTCATAGACAGATTGACTGATGCTTCACTGAGATAAACCTGAAGTGGGTTTATACTGATAAAATAAATAAATAAACAAACCTATTTCATGCCAGTTTTCAGATTTCTTCTTTTGATTCACTCCTCACAACATTTTGCAATAGCCAAAAATGTTCCATGTGGTGTGCGTGTGCTTGTGCGTGTGTCAGGGGTTAGAAACCAAAAAGCAGACATATTGAGTGAAAACACAGCGCAGCGGTGACCTATTATTATTATCAGTTAACCATTCCTAATGACAATTCTTAACCTGTCTTACAAATCCTGTCAAGTCAGCTGTGGTGTAAGGAGTCAGTGGTATTTTGTGTTACAAGTAGACAGGTGGGCAGACTTTTGCACAGGCAACAATTACTGTTAGGCTCATGAATAAAAAGTAAGAGTGCTGCTGACTTTAGAAGAAAGGGTCATTTTACTGCCTGTTTGCTGCAGGGACTGCATTTAATTTTTTCACTTGAAAACAAACAAACTAAACTATATATAATTGGACCAGTGGTGCTTAGACGTTGGTATACAATTAGATAACCACCTCAGTGCACCAAACAGTCTTCAGCACTTCATTAAATATATAGAAACAGCATAAATAAGATTTTGCAGAATCACAGTCCATAATGTCTTTCAGCGATTATGATCATATGATTCTTTAACAATTACTGAAAAGAAAATGCCATCAAACTGTAGTGCCATTCACTGCCGTACATGTTTGTGATTCATTATTAAGTTTAAAACATTTCTTTCTTCTCATTTAGAGCAGCTACAGAATTACCACCCAAATCTGCAGTTCTCCTCAGTTTTATGGAGCTGTAGTCAGTTTCAGCTCACTGTTTAACTTTCAGCATAAAAAGCTCCAGAAACCCACTATTCTGTATCTGTTCACACCACACAGCAGACAGACCAAGTTAGTGAGCTTGTGAACACAGTGGAGCAGGTTTGATAAGTTGCTGCATAAACATTATTCATAATGTCAGTTTTAAATGGACATATTTATGCATAAAGCAAGAAGAAATTAGGTATGCTGACACACGTTTTAGAAGTAACAAATTTAGCCAGCCATATTATCGTTATTCTGTACCAGGCCTTGAAACAAGTGAGCCAAATTTTAGAACTGCTCTTGTGCTGCACAACACCACAGCAATGAGCTCACAACAACAGCATCAAAGACACTGCCAGAATAAATAAGCTCATAATTTGTGATAAGCTGTGACCAGCTGGGGCAACGTTTTTACACAGAAAGAAACTCAGTTCAAACCATGAAGCATAAAACATTTTGTTTAAAGTTTATATATACATACAAATATACAGTACATACGCACATATGCACGTGCCTAAATAACAGAAAGAGAGAAAAGCTGTGCAATCAGTCAGTTCTGAAAATCATTAATTTTCATAATAATCAGGCCTAATGATGGGTGATCATTTTATAAATTGCCATGTCTTGTGTATACTGCCATGTCATCACAACCGCCATGCACAGATTGTGTCTGACATCCTTCACCATTTATTATAATCTAACAACAGTCATTTGTACGTGTGGCTGTCACTCGTTTCACATGGTGGATGCATGTGGAAGCTAACTTTTCTTTAAGCCTTGTTTTGATTTGTGGGTTTTCAGTCTGTCTGTGAACATATACATTAATAGGAAGAGTTAAATATTCTGTGTAAATTTAGCTGATAAAAGGGCTTTGTTTTGTTGTACAGTATATGTAAAGTAACATCAAATCCAGTAGCTACAGAAGGTATTCTAGAAATCAAGTGACTGACAGTGGTCGACTTCTGCATTTCAAAGAATACTGCTCGGAACAAGAGGGATAGAATTGAATAAACCTGGGAAGTGTTCAGTCTAAGGCCAAGTTCATTCAATAAGCTTAATAAAGCCACGGCCTGGAATTTAATATGTCGAGGGTGTGGTCTCACAAAAAAAAAAAAATCTACAACACTGAGGGCCAATAGAACTCTATAAGAATTTTTAATGGCACAAGAATGAATGCTATATGCATAACAAGCACAATGATCCCTGTGTTGTCTCATCCTTAATAGCTTAGCACTTCTACTCCAGGCAAGTTTGTTTATTGGATTTTGTTGAAATTAAAGTTACCTCACCAAATGTGATAATGCATGTGGGGAATTGTATGTGTAGGGGGAGAAGTTATGATGAATCCACCCTGGATCAGGTGGTTCAGAGGAAGCTTGCTTAGTATAAAACCAGGCCTAGACCCAGCAAGGAGTAGCAGGCAGAAACAGAAAAACAATTAAAAAAAAAAACACAGGCAGACATGATTTAGTCAACATCATAAATGATGTGGCAGAAGCGTGGGCAAACTCTGCTTCCCTATGTACCAGGGAGTTAATGAGCAAATGAGAAACAGCTGTGCAGGCAGGTGTCAGGTGAAACCCGCAGACTGTGTTTAGTGGACAGGTAGGGCATGACAGGAAAATGTAATAGCACACAGTGCAGGTACATCCAGGCTGAATGTGGCAAGCTGTGTGAAGACGCCACTTTTCATTCATTTTCTGTGAGAATAAGTGAATCCCTCATGTTAAACATGACGGGATTGAGCCTCCTCTTTTGGAGTGAGATGCTGTATCCCGGTTCGTGGACCACATCCTTTGAAGTTAACATGGATTACAACTCTTCACACAATGTTTCTTCCATTGTAGCCCTTACTTAGAGACACTGCTATCTCCTAGGCCTAGGGATTTGTGTTGTTCAGTTGGAACTGGTTTTGTCTGAGTTCAGAGTTTTAGGCACTTTCTGGGCATTTTTTGCCTTCATTTCATAAGTGTGTCACAGAAAGGCAGACAGGAAATGAGGAGACAGAGTTTAAGAGAGCGGGGGAAGACCATATCCAGACTTGAACCATCGATGTGTGCACCCAGTGTGCACGTGTACGAGGTGCTAAGATGTGTTTTAATTATGCAGACTGCATACACCAGAGTAATGAATCTGTTGATATATGCGGTATACATTTCCCGCTCTGCTCGGTTGTGTGCTTTACAAAGCCTGACAACAGCTCTTTTTCAAAGTTGACATTTGACATTTTACCATAACAGAGGAAGCGCAGGTATTTCATGACATTAATGATGGCTGCATTCGACTTAAGGAAGAGCTTGGTATTGTGTGCTTGGCTCACTGTCATAACTTACTGGAACACCTGATAGAACTGAGCCATTCCTAATGAAGTTTGTTTCACCTGTGTCTGCTGAGAAAAAGGTCTGTATGCCTTTCGGTCTTAGGCCAGTCTTTTGACATGTCATAGCTTGACAAGCCCAGGTGTTACTCATAAGATTGTAATGTTTCTTTTGTATCTATTGTAGTTGTTCTTTTGTCTGGTTTCTCTCTGCCTGAACTTTTGTTTAAGCAGCTGGTTCTCAACTATTTTGTCCCAAGGACGCGACACAAGAAATACATATGTCCAAAAAAGGTAGCCTTCTTTTGAGGATACAACCAGCATATCTGTTGCCACTCTCGGTGTCCCCAAATCTATTGTGACAGCTGCTGCATTTAGGTGGTCCTCACTAAGAGTAAAAGTGAAAAATATCATGACCATATTGCATTTGCTATTTGCCTTCAGGTGGGCACCAGTCACGGATGAATAAATAACATGATGTGGACCAGTGAAAGAAATACGACAGCAACTAGCCATTAACCTCACAGTTTTTTCTTCCTACAAGCTTAGATATGTTCTGCATTACAGATAAATTGAAGTTCTACTGGAATATTTCCAACTGCCCATCATGTGTTTGAATTAATAAATCAGCACTCTGGTAATACAAATCTTAAAGTACTAGTGTTTTTAGCATCTTTGGCCATAGTGGCCAATATCCTGTTGATAATCCAAGATAAATTAATATTTACAAGTTTGCATGGATTTGCCATATTAGCTTAAACATAGGCTCTCATGTTGCAATCTTAAAACTTGCATATCTTAGAACCCCCATACTGATATGCAAATTCACTTTTAAATACAGTTCAAATGTAATTTCAAAAAACTGATAATTGCTCTCAAAAAACTATTTATGCTATTTATCTACAC